TCCTTATAGGTTACAGAAGCTAAAATCTTTTTGATTTTGCCTCCAGCCAGACTTGAACTGTTGACCTTGACTGTGGGAGTATGGAAGCTTAACAATTAAGCTATAGAACCCACACACCTATTACTTTTAATTTCTTTTTTGAAAAAATCTAAATATATTAAATATTTAAAATTGCATCTTTGCAAGTAACAGCTATGATAACTGTACCCACAAGAAAGAACATTACCATCATTCAAATAGTTAGTATAGCTAGTGCAATCACAAAATTGATAATTACATAAAACACTTGTAAAGGGTTTTCTCACAGTAATGAAACCCCTTGAAAGATGGTGATTGGTTATAATATAACCTAAAGAAGGTAGTATGTAGATGTAAATACTATCTTTAGATGAATTATTAATCAAAAAATACCAACAGCATTCTTCATACATTTTAGTGAACAATTTCAAAAGTATTACAGAACACTTTTAGAATAGCATTTGCAATTGTTTTGGTTTGTACAGATACTTTATAGAATTTACGAAATACTGATTGAAGGCATTATCTTCTTGATTTTGAAATGTAAAGCATGTTTCTTTTTGTAATTGATTTACTATAAAAAACTTAAGTGTACACTGTCGAATTATACTGTGAATAGTTTTACTAGACAATTATTTAAAGATGCAAGATGATTAGTAATTATATCTATTATAGGATGTTTGTATCTCTTTAAAAAAAAATATCAGAAAAAAATAATAAAGAAGCATGTTTATAATTTCTTTTATTAAATCAAAAAAAAAGATCACTCTAGCAATAAATGTATACTTCTTCATAAGCTTAACAGTTTTCTTCTTGATAATATACTACATATATATCAAGTACTAAAGGAATTATGTTGCTCAAAAGATTAGTTAGATATAAAAATTCGATGCTTTTATATATATAACCAAATTTTAAATAAACAACTTCAGAAATATTAAGCCATGCCATATGTATAAGATAAAGAATTAAGTCAACTCATCATAGTTGTGGCTTCTTATTAAGCTTTTTCTTTTTTCAAAAATATCTTTATAAATATTATTGAATAGAAATAAATTTTTTAAAAAAACAAGTTTACAGCTATTCAAAAATATATAAAGTGAGTTTATCATAAATATAAATAATATAATAAATAGAAAAATGATCTCATTGTTAAGAAGAAGCTAATATATAATAGTCTTATAAATAAAGAATCAACTAGGCTAATCTGCAATAACAGGAATTATGTAGTTAGAAAAATAATCTTGCATTAATTCCTGGTTATGCATAATTTAGAAGGCTTTCATATAATCTTCTATACTTTTCAGATTACTTTTAATAAAATCAAAAAGAATAATATTCTTTATGTGTCAATTGCTCTTTTTTTCTATTAACCTGTCATTATAACTGTGCAAAGTTAGTCTCTCTATAAGCTTATTATCAGAATATTCACCTATGCAGCCTTGTACATGTTTATAATAAGATATACCAAGGTTTATAATAAACTGCTTATCAAGATGTTTTGTGATCAATTCATCATCTATGAATTTTAGATTGAACACTTCATTACAAGGTATTACTGATATAGGACACAGATTTGCTATAATGATTGCTATATATGTTGGATGAGACATACTAATAGAGTCAGACTGCTAAGGAATATGAATGTTGTGATGATTGTTAACATTCAGCATAAAAACATTGTTGAAAACTTTTGAAAAGACATTTTTAACATATTTCTCATAAACATCTAATGCTTTTTTTTTCTTTTATTTACTGCTTTTGATGTTGTAATTATACCAAGATTTGTCATCATATCTAAACCTTCATTACTTATACCTGCAAAATCCAAATAATAAACTAAATCAAATTTAAAGATGTTAATTTTTGTATTATTTAATAATGCAAGAAGATAACATATATAAACAATTAATTTTTTCAAATGATCCATGATTTTTTTACTTCACTCAAGAGGCTTAACTACAAAATAAAGCTGATTAAGAAAATCTTTTAGAATCTTATTTGTTTGAAATGCTTCTTGTATTTTATCAAATAAATATATTAAATCTTTTTTTCATATGCTCTTTCTTATAAAAAAATTTTGCCATTGCTGTAATAGCTTTAACAAAGTTAATCATACTTACCTTTTTCTCATTTAAGGTTTTTACATTTCTATTTAGAATCTCTATCTTATTTCTTATTGCAGTTTTTACACTTTTTACACTTTTTCTAACTATAGCTTCTATATTGTCCTCAACTGTTACCTTTAACTATTGTTACAGGGTTGCAGCCTTCTTGGTACAATACAACCAAGTAACAAAATCACTCAGTATAGTGATTGACTATTGCAAATATATATGGAGTAGAGGTGTAGTAGTTCACTTTACTATATAGCAGTAGGCAAATGGTTCAAGATAATAACAGTATATAGATTAACTTTTTATTAACAACACACATGATGACAATCTTGCCTGTAGGAATTACTCTAGAGGGTGAATATCATCCTTCATAATCAAAAGGTCATTAGGTCTAGGTTGAAGTATAGAAACTTGAAATTGGCAGGGAAGGGGAAAAGGTACCCTTTATATATCTTTTTACCTAGTGGGGGTAGTGGAGGTTTGAGTGACATCTCTTAATACTATACTTAGGGTAGTAGAGATTGTGCAAAAGCAAGTGAAGTTTGTACAGAAATGGTTGGAACAATGTTTATATATATTTGTTATTTGTACTTAAAACACTTAGGATATGTGTCAAGGTACTTGGGTTTGTATAGGGACACTTGGGATTGTACAAGAACACCTGGGGATTATGTTGGGATACTTGGGATTGTGCAGGGATACTTGAGAATTGTGAAAAGGATACTTGGGATTCTTGTACTGTATTATTTGGCACAGTAAATTGTACTAGGATACATGAAACTTGTGTAGAAGTACTTGGGGTTTTGTAAGACAATAATGACATTATAGATGTTACCCAATGTTATGTGTTTGTATTACACTTCTAACAGCCAATTAAGATTCTATTTTTTAACTACTATATACTATAATATAACTATGCTAATAACTAATAAT